CCCCCCCCAAGCACCAAGATGACAGAGCATCACTTGCCCCAGAGTCCCTATCTATCCCTTGTGGCTAACAGCCACTGATGGACCTCTGCTCCATATGCTTATCTAATTCCCTTTTGAAGGCGTCCATGCTTGTAGCCGCCACCACTTCCTGTGGCAGTGAATTCCAAGTGTTCATCACTCTTTGGGTGAAGAAGTCTCCTATTTTTACATCCGTTTTTACATCATTTTTACCTGCTGTCTCCTATTTTTACATCAGTAAAAATCAAAGAGTGCCACTTCCTGTACTTCCTCCCTGCTCCTCCAAGGGAGGATTGCAATGGAATTGTTTCGGCAAACCTGGGGAAACGGGCCAATTTGGCTTCCATTGACTTTAGACTCTGTGCATCACCTGAAGTGTAACTTAAAAGATTGTTTATATAAGACTACCACATGCTGCCATTTTGCTCTCAGCCTGCAAGAGAACAACGTTGTCTCATTGGCATTTGAGAGGAACGTGGTTGGACTTCTGCTGGTTTCTGCATTTTCAATGTGCAGACAAAACGCCTCCCCCCAGAGAATGTGCAATAACCTAACACCTGCAACAAAATTAAATTTTGTGCCTATATATGTATGTCACAGAAGATGCTTGTAAGCAGGGTTCCCTCTAAGCTGAGTGAGTGTGAGCTAGCTCACAGTTTTTTAGCCTCCGGCTCACACGTTTTTGTCTCCGCTCAGGAAGGAGGGCCCCAGAGCGAACTCATTGATGCAGCAGCCCAATCGCTCATTCACCACTTTCATGCCAGGAGCTCACAAAGCGGAATTTCTGCTCACAAGAGTCCACAGCTTAGAAGGAGGACTGCTTGTAAGACCAGGCTGTTGTAACATCATGACCTGGAAAAATCTGCTTCCCACCCCTCTAGCTATAAAATTTTGTAACATGCAGCCTGGTGTTCTGTTGAGCTCGGTTTTCTGTCAGTTTGGTGGGTCCTAATAAAAGATATTACATTAAAAAAAAGAAGCCACCAGAGGTCACCATGACCTCCAGGTGCACATACACACTCTCACACAAATATATAACCCCCCCCCACACAATATTAGTGAACAAATCTAGTATTCTCACCATATATTTAAGTTTCCACCAAAGTCTCCTGTAGCTAGATATCTCTGTTGCAAAGAGGAAGCGCCAAACGTTCCACATTTAATAGGCTTTGATTTTTCGATCTTGAAAGAGAAAGAACAAGTTTTTTAAAGAAAGACTAGAATTAGATAATGATACATCTATAGCCCCGCTCTAGTCAACACTGGCAGGTTTCAGATTAGAATCATAGAATGTTAGAGTTGGAAGGGACCTTGCAGGTCATTTAGTCCAACCCCCTGCACTCTGCAGGAGTATACTGAAAGATAGCCCTACATACCTACAACATACCTGAAAGATGGTCATCCAGTCTCCGCTTGAAAACATCCAGCGAAGGAGCATCCGCCCCCTCCCGAGGCAGACTGTTCCACTGCCCAACCACTCTTACAGTTAGGAAGTTT